AATCTGAGCTTAGTCTTATTGTTTCTCCTCTGTATGTGACTTCTTGTTTTTCACGAGCTGCTCTCAGGATTCTTTGTTTGTCTTTAATTTTGGTGAGTGTGAATATGATATGTCTTGGTGATTTTCTTTTGGGGTCTCTTCTATATGGGGTTCGTTGAGCTTCTTGGAGGAGGAGGGGTATACTTGAGAGACACTTTGAGAGTAGAATTGATAGGACTCAGCCATCTATTGGATGTGGGAGGAGGAAGGAGCAAAGGGTAATTCACATGTGAGAATGGTGCTTTTCCTAATCTGTCCCCAAGGGGCCTCCGGGTAGGAGTTTATCTGAAATACACTCAGAGCAGGGTACATTTCTGCTCTCGCCTCCATACCTTCCTCCCACCTAAACACCCATACTCCAAAGGGCCTTCCTGTCTCTGGGTCCTGGTCCTACTTCTCTCCATTTTTGTTCATCAAATACATGCAATTATCAAGCACCCTGTCTATGTCTGTATCAGGCACTGGGGTCTTGGAGATGAATATGTCTCAGTCTTTGACCTGGAGGAGCTCAAAGTCCATCAGGTGTTGCAGTACAGGGTAACCAGAGGCCCTGGAGGGGGCTGGGAGCACAGGGAAGAAGCTCCTCCTTCTTTGTTGACTGGCTCTTGCCATAGAATTGAGAGGTATAAGTTATGGTATACCTCTGTGAGGCCAGGATCAGTCTGCTCTCTGCCTCCTTGCTTGCTTCTGGCACAGCCCCCTGCTCTTGCTGACTTCTTCCTATTCCATTGAGGAACCTTCAGTGAGATCCCAGTTTTCTCTCTCATTCTCCTGGCCTGTTGAAGCCCCTTCCCTTCTGACTCAGATCTCACTTCCATCCACCTCTCCCTGTAAAAGGCCTCATCAGAAATAAATATTCACAATTGTCCATTAGCTGCACTATGCCTCCTCACTAGCAGAAATATACGCATGCAGCTGGTCACCCACCTAGAGAGTGATACATCATCAGGAACTCACATCACACAAACACAGATGCACACACAGCCACACACTGTCAGTTGCATATACTGTTGTTCACTAATAGAGTACGTGGCAAGTAACTCTCATCATATCCGTCTTGGTGCTAGGTTGTCTGGATGGGATTGATGGTCAGTGGCCTGAGTCTGTAATGTCTGGTGTCCACAGGAAGTCTCAGAAGTGGATCGTTGGAAACCAAGAGCACTGCAGGCCGAGCTAGCACTTTTCCCCCTGCGCCTGTCCCTGGGGAACCTGTGACTCCACCCAGCAAAGCTGGCCGGCGCAGCTTCTGGGATATGCTGGTAATGGGAGAAGTGGTGAAGTTGGCATCTACCTTCTTGCCTGCCTCCTAGCTCCCCTTTGCTCTCTCCCCGCTTCCCCCATTCCCTCCAGGCCTTGCCATGCTGTCCCTTAGACAGAACATGGCAGATTCTCTCTGATGGGGAGAGTGCTTCAGTTTACTAAGTGCATTCACTTCCATTTTTCTTGTCAAAGCCTGCAAGTAGGGCTTTGCCCAGTGAGGAAGATGAGGCTCAGGAAAGTTAAGTAACCTGCCCACAGCTGCTTGGTCAGCCTTCAGAAGCTAGGACCAAAACCCAGGCCTCCAGCCCTCCAAGCTCTTGTTGTTCCACGATGCCTCCATCGTCTACGCCTTTCCCCTTCCCAATAACCCCTTCTCATTCACTACATTGCCCCCAGAGTAAAACAGAATGTGGGGATTTGGGTTCCCCCAAAACAACTGACGACATTGTCCTGGATCGGCCAGAAGACACTCGGGGCCGGAGGCGTCACAAAACTGAGAATGTGCGGACTCCTGGAGGAAATGAGCGGGCACCAGGCCCAGATTCTGGAGCCCAGAGACAAAGGTGTGTGTGTGTATGGCCCTTGTGGTGGCCTGTATATACATCCATGTCGTGTGGATGTGCGGTTGCCTTACTCCTGCCGTGTCTTCAGACGCCGGATGACACAGCTAGAAGAGGGCGAGGTGGGGACCCTGCATCCTGTGTTTGCTCACGTCAGTCGGCGCTGGATGGAGTTTATGGTTCAGATTGGTGAGACCCCAGCCCCCCCCTCCCATCCCTCAACCCCTGCCCTGGCCTCCATCCCCCAGCCGCATAGTGAAATCTCTGCCTGCCTTCCAGGGTGTATCTCAGTGTCCAGGAGCTCCACCCACATGGTGTCCCGGTTCCTCCTTCCATCCATCCTGTCTGAGTTTACCACCTTGGTCACCTCAATGGCTGGAGACACCAGCGTCCGGGTCTTTGAGCTGCATTTGTGAGTTTGGGATTGCATGGGATTGAAGTGGACTTCCAGACTTCCTAAAACCTGGGCCTATAGGAAGCCAAACCCATGGAGGCTGAGCTAGGAGAGGTGGGGCTGGGGCTGGGGAGGGGAAGGCTGGGCCAGGGGATGGGGCCATGGATGGTCTGCTTTCTGTATGCCCTTCCCTGCCAGTAGGGGTTCAGAATCAGAGATCTTCAGTCCTTGTTCCCCTGGACAACTGGGCCCAGCTCCCCGTCCAGCAGCAGAGCGGCATCTGCTGCTTCTGGGAAGGAACTTCTTGCAGTGGAGGAGACCAATCCAGCAAGGTGAGGGCGTGACGTAGTGGAGGGTGGGTTCAGAGGGTTTGGTGGGGTGGTCTCTGACCCTGCAGGGGGTGGGTGGGATCTAGGAGGATCTGCCACCAGGCCCCCATTTTTCCCCTTCCCCACCCTGTAGCTGCCAAAGCCATGCAGCGCTTCGAACCAGGAGGCGATGGGAGCTCAGGGCGGAGTGCTCCCCGGCAGAGGCTCTTGCTGCTGGAGGTCGTAGACAAGAAGGTACTTGTGGGGCCAGGGGCTAGCAGGGAGAAGGGGCTCTGTGATCTCACTGACCCTGACCCCTAATCCCCAGCTACAGCTGCTGACCTACAACTGGGCTCCAGACCTAGGGGCGGCACTGGGCCGAGCGCTCGTTCACCTTGTGCAGTGGCAGAATGCTCGGGCCCATCTTATCTTCTGCCTACTCAGCCAGAAGCTTGGACTCTTCCACCATTATGGCCAGTTGGATTTCCCAGTGAGAGATGAAAAGGTGCCTGTTGCTCTGGCTCCCTTCTCTAGTTCTGGCTACTGAGGGGTCAGTTAAAGGAAGTACCAGCTTGGAAATGGGAGAGGGGACAGACTAAGGGCAGAGATAGTGGAGAGGGAGTCTAAGAGAGGAAGCCATGGGATGAGAGGGTCCAAGGGCAAAGGCTGTGGGGAACTCATTGTGAGGCATCATCTCTCTCAGGAGCCAAACCCATTCCTACTGCCGACCATGGAAGCAGAGACCCTTATCCGGAGTGCAAGTCCCCCACTGAGCCGTGAGCAGGGCCGGCTGAGTGGGTCCTCACGTGGTGGGGGCCCCCTTCCCCTGGATACATTCCCCTTCGATGAGGCCTTGAGGGATATCACGGCTGCCCGCCCCAGCTCCACACTCAGCCCTGTGCCCAGAGTCCCTGATCCCGTCACTTACCATGGGCAACAGTTCCTGGATATCAAGATGACAGAGCGCAGAGGTGGGGCACTGGGTTGGGCAGGGGGAGGGGGAATCTGTGGAGTCTGGGAGGGAAAGGGATGGCAGCTGCTGGGGCTACTACTGATGTCTCCAACCCCCCAGAGCTGGAGCGCCAGATGAAGATGGAGAACCTGTTTGTAACCTGGCAGCAGCGTTCTGCCCCAGCCAGCATGCCCATCAGTGTGAGTGATCTCGAGATATGACCCTGTCCCTCAGCCTACATGAGGATCCTGTGACCCTTCCTTGGCTACTGCTCTGGTGCTCACTGGTGCTCACTGCCCCATATCCCCAGGCAGGGGAGCTGGAGACCCTGAAGCAGTCATCCCGCCTGGTGCATTACTGTGCAACAGCCCTGCTCTTCGACCCAGCTGCCTGGCTGCATGGGCCCCCAGAGACTTCTGGGCACCCTGAGGGGCAGGTGAGGCCCAAGACTCCAGATTTCCCCATGGGATCTCCTGTGACCCCACAGTGACTTCTACTTCTCCACCCCCAGTGGGGTGGTTGACAGTGGGTAGAGTCTACCTTAATTTCCACTCCTACAGCGGCGCCATCGCCCTGAGTCGGGATCTGGGAGCCGAGAGGCACCCCCAGGCTGCGAATCCTGTGATGTGCCTCTGCCAGGAGCCCGTGAGGAGCCGTGGCTGAAGGAGCTGAGCTTGGCTTTCCTGCAGCAATATGTGCAGTATCTGCAGAGCATAGGCTTTGTGCTGGTGCCCCTGCGGCCCCCCTCACCTGCCCGCAGGTGAGACGGCCCCTCCTTCCCTTTCCTCATTTGTCCTTACTGCAGGTGAGGCCCCCACAGGCCCATCCTCTGTTCATACAAGTCCCTTTTGACAACTTGGGCCTCGTTCATCTCACCAGACTAGCACGCATACGTGAGGATCTTATACACTACCACGCAGCCCTCATGTGTGTCCTGCAAACCTCCGACATCTGTGGAGCTCACATCCACATATGTGCAGAGAACCGTGCACATTCTCACAGAGCCCATGTCCACTTACATCTTATATGTTAACTTGCTTTATATAACCACACACATGAATCTCTTACATGCTCCTAAGCTTTTGGACCTGGGCCTTAATGATTCCTGCCCTGATCATCCCACTGACCTTTCCTGAGATTGTGTATGGTTCTTGGCCCTAGGAAGTCCTTTTCTCACCAAGGACCGGTCCTTCTCCCCTCACTGCTTTGCCCTGTATAGGTCTTGGTCATGTTCACTCCCTCAGCTGGCTGTTCTCCACAGCTAGTTCTCAGCTGTAGGAGTCTCAGAGAGACTTGAGTTTACAGACTTTCCATTCAGCTATGTTCTTCCTAAAACTTTGAATTCCTTTTTAAAACAAAAGACACTGAGTTAAAAAATATGTTTCTAAAGCAAAATTTAAAAACACAGTTTAAGCTCTCCTTTCTTACTAATCTTTAACTGTCACCAATCACTGGTTAAATCTTAAACTGATTTCCTGCAGGGAGTAACTGGGACATGTCTTCTTGCCAGAGCCTTTGACCTCCAACAAGAGAGGTCTGGTGTTTATAGCTCCTCCCCCACTGGCCCTTCTGTTTTGTCCTTTTTCACAGTATCTTCCCTGCTTCTCTTTTCCCCTTACCTAAGAAATGCTGAAACTGCCATTCCCCAGTCAAAAGGGAACCACCTTTCCCTCTCATAGGAAGATGTCTCACTAGGGCATCGAGGATCTCCTTGAATTTTCCTAATTAAATCTTAGAAATACATCAGATCTCTACACCACCCCCGTATGGAGATGTCTCTGTCCCATTACAGGCATCTACCTAAATTCACAGCAGCCTCTCTTGCCCTAGCCTCATCCTCTCACTTGAGTGCGCAAGAAGATTGGCCTCTGCTTCCCACTGAGCACTGCTCTCACTCCCTTTTAGAGGAGCAGCTGCTGTGGAGAGAGCCCTGCCCCACAGTCTAACCTGGTTTCCAGCCCCAGCTTTGCCACTGGGACCCTGAGCAAGTCCTTCCCCTCTCTGGGCCTATTTCCTCTCCTGCAGAACGATTCCATGTAAAATGGATTCTGGGTCTGATGGTTGTATCCTTCACCCCACTGGCCTGCCTCATCATCTTGTTCCCCTTCCTTTTGTGTAGCGCTAGCCGGCTGCGGGCCATGGCTATCCTTGGAACAGAAGGCCGAGGCTCCTTCTCCTGCCCTAAAACCAAGACAGATGGGAGCCCCAAGGTAACTCACTGTCATATCACCTTCCCCCTTAGTGAAATCAGTGATGCCCCAAGACCCCAATGCCACTGACCCTTAATTATTTCCCCAAGGTCTGAGGTCAGTGACCCTGAGTGATGCTGGGGGATTGTTGATCCCAGAATGACATCATTAAAGTCAGTGGCCCAAAGGACCCCTGCCCTGCTGTCTTGAGGCTGTTGAGCCCCTACTCCTTGCCCCTGAGCCCCAGTGCCCCAGTTCTTTTTCCTTTCTCCAGAGCACTGGCTCTGCGGTCACCACCTACCACCTGCAGCGGGCACTGCCTGGTGGCATTATCCTCATGGAACTGGCCTTCCAGGTGAGCAGGAGGGAGCACTGAGTGGGGAAAGCCAGACCTGCCTGTCTCTTACCCTCCTGACCCCATCTTCACCCTCTCTCCAGGGCTGTTACTTCTGTGTCAAACAGTTTGCCCTGGAATGTTCCCGAATCCCCATGGGACAGGCTGTCAACTCTCAGGTATGTGGTGGGGAGGCTGTAGTGGGGACAGAAGACAGGAATATGGGATTGGGCAAGGCTCAGGCACAGTGTGGCCCCATGACCCATCTGGATGGCTAGTAAGAGTGATGCCATGGGCAGACTGGCCCAGTGATGGAGCTGGTGCTGTGGGCTACCTAGGTCAGTAGTCATTCTGGTGCCCTGACTGGATCAACCAACACTCTGACCCTGTGGGCAGTCCATAGCACTGGAGGCACAGAGCAGTCCAGCATAATGATTAGTCTGCCCTATGGTCATTCTGGCAATTACAACAGCCTGATGATGTGGTTGGTCTGTAATCATAGGTAGCCTGACAGGACATTTGAGCATAGTGGATAACCTGGCACATGGGAACGTTGGTGCTGACCTAATCTAGAGCTTGGGAAGCTTGGCATTGTTAGTGTAGTCACTGACAGAATGAGGACCAAAGTTCCCACCCACACAGGGTGTCTCTAGCACCTAGTCATTATTTATGTCCCTGTCAGTCTCCTCAAGGGCAGGACCTCTGTACCCGTGGGGGTTAGACACTCAGGAGTGCCTGCAGTAAGTCAGAGGATCCAGTGAGATCAGCAATCTCAAGCACTTTGTACTTTTGAGTTGGCTTTGCTTCTTTAGGTTGCCAAGAATGTCCTGCCAGGGCCTGCGCCTTCTTTGTGCCTCACAAATAGTTTCTGAGAGATCAAGATCTGACTGGGTCCAGTCAGTCATCCTCCAGTACAGACCCCTCTCCACTGGGTAGAGCTCTCCCATTTGGACAGTTCATATACAGCCCATGGGTGGTTGCCTTTGACTTGCGTGTATGGCTCCCTGGTCCAGTCATCACAAGATAATGTGACCCAAAGCATGGTGACTTGATGTTTAAGGCCACAGTGCTTGTAAGGAGCTATGGATGGGCAGGTACTCTCTCACACTTCCCTGGAATATTAGAGGGAAGGATCACCCTCCACTACTCTGTGAGCTTCCTGAAGTCCTTCTGCCCTCTGTGCTTACTGATCTTCATCCAGCTTGGCTCTCTCTCTCTGCCCCTACTTATCTACTCTCTAATCTTACTTAGATTCCTAAATTGTTTTATTGTTGCTATTGTTTATTAAGCAAATATATACTAAGCAGAGAGAAAAGATTTACTCCCACTGTACAGATAAGGAAACTGAGGTTCATAGAGGTTAAGTAATTTGTCCTGAGGCACACAGCTAATCAGTGGCAATATTGGGGTTGCAGTCTAAGTCTTTGTGGTTCTGAGACTCATCCTTGTTTATTTTAGTTTATCACACTGCCTCTAACTTTATGAAGACCTTGACGTTACTCCATGGTAGATGAGGAAACTGAAGCACAGAGATTGTGACTTACCCAAGATCACACAGCTAGTCTAACTCCTAGGCTATAGCTTCTTCTACAGCCATTTATCTCCCTTCCTAATAACTCCCTAGTGCCCCCAAGGGAGTGGTCAGGTAGATTCTGGCCATTCCAGCACCACAGACCCGGATGGTGACCTACATTCAGTAATGGTTTCAGTCAAGAGAAGCACTAGCTCCATGTCTCTGCCCTTCCATTCCCCTCCATCGATGATTCGTTCGCTCATTCACAAACAGAGGAGGGCCACCCTGGCCTGGTCTTGGCGGGAGGTTCCAGGTGAAGCTTTAAGAATGAGCTGGGAGCACTGAGTTTCCATATCTGGTGATGGAAAATTTGGCAGCAATTATTGGTGATGGTTGCAGAGCATGATTAATGTAATTGATATCACTAAATTGTACACGTGAAAAATGCTGAATGGGAAACAATAAACAATAAAAAGCAAACAAAAAAGAATTAAAAAAAAAAAAATGAGTCTAGGGTTCAGGGAGAGCAGCATTCCAGGCAAAGAGAACAACAGGTACAAAAATGTTGAGGGGAGAATATGTGACATACTTGGGGAGAGCAAGTACTTTGATGGGAAGATAAAGCTGGAGACATGGGAAGGGGCCAGGAAAAACTTTTCACTAGTACCCGATTACACACACACACACCCTGCCCCAGCACTTACCCTACTCTGCTACTTGATTTTCCATTAATGCCATCTTCTAACGTGCTACGTCATTTATTCATTGACTCCGTCTGGTGTTTCCTGTCTGTCTCCCCACTACTAGAATGTAAGCTCCTTGAGGGCAGGGACTTGATTCTGTTTATCAGTGTACCCCCAGCACTTAGAACAGTACCTGGTAGGTGCACAGCAGGCACTCAACGGGTGTTTTTTGCATCAATGAATCTATGCCAGACTCTAGTGGAATGAGATACAGAGTAAACATACTCGCTCAGTCTCTGCCCTCAAGACAGTCATAGTTTCATGTAAGCAGTTACAATACAGTATAAAAGAGGGAGAATATAATGAGGAAGGCTTCCCAGAAAACTACTCTGGCAGAGGAGGGGGTTCCACTGGGCTCACAGCAACAGGGTGAATCTGTTGAGCTTCTTCTTCCTGTGGAAGGAAGGGGGATGTTAGGCAGCCTGTGCCCTAAGTCAGTTCCCTGTTCCTGCTGCCACCTCTCCAGCTGTCGATGCTGTTCACGGAAGAGTGTGACAGGGTTCGTGACCTGATGCATGTGCACTCATTCAGCTATGACTTCCACCTGCGCCTCGTGCACCAACATGTTCTGGGCACCCACCTGGTCCTTCGGCACGGCTACCACCTCACCACCTTCCTGCGACACTTCCTGGCCCATCACCCTGATGGGCCCCACTTCGGCCGCAACCACATTTACCAAGGTCAGTGCCCAAGGGCAAGCCAGTGAGCCAGAAAAAGAACAGGTCACAGGTGTCTCCCAGCCATGGCCGGCAGGTGCACTTCCTGGGGCAAGACCTTAGTCTCTCCAACACCTGTTCTGTACTGTCAATTGCCTCATAGCACTTGTACCCTGTGCCCGTGTCTCTGGCTTTGTCTCTTAAGTTCTTCACAATCTGTTTCATGCACAGTGCGGCTCCTATGTCATACGCACCCTGCCCTATGTCTGTTCTGAGCCACTGTTCATCCATGTTCCACAGGAACTCAGGAGCTCCCCTGGAAAGCAGAACCAGTGTGCCTGCCAGTCAGAGCCTTAGCAACTCTCATCCCCCACCCTGCCACCACCCCTGGCCAGATCAGTGTGTCTGTCTCAGGCTCAGTGTCTCTTGTCTCCTATAACTTGCCCCTCAGGGACATTGGAGCTCCCCACCCCACTCATTGCTGCCCACCAGCTTTACAACTATGTGGCTGACCATGCCAGCTCCTACCACATGAAGCCATTGCGTATGGCCCGGCCAGGGGGCCCAGAACATAATGAATATGCCTTGGTGTCAGCATGGCACAGGTAAGGCTGGAAGGGGCACTCAGCATACACTCAGGCAGAGCTGAGGTCTGAGCTATACTTGCAGTTAGGAGACCCATGTTTTCTTGGGCAGAAGAGGTGGGACTGTTTCCTTGGAACGTCAGGGTTGACATCTCCCCCACGTCTCCCACCTCCACCACGCAGCTCTGGCTCCTACCTGGACTCTGAGGGACTTCGTCACCAGGATGACTTTGATGTGTCTCTGCTTGTCTGTCACTGTGCTGCACCCTTTGAGGAGCAAGGAGAGGCTGAGCGACATGTTCTGCGGTTAGCCAATCCCCTTCCTTGAACATGCTTATTACCCATCCCCCACCTCCCGCTCCCTGCTCTTGCCCTGTGTGTCTCCCACTGTGACCACCACACTCCTGTCCACCGCCCATACAGGCTGCAGTTCTTCGTGGTGCTCACCAGCCAACGAGAGCTGTTCCCCAGACTCACTGCTGACATGCGCCGGTTCCGGAAGCCACCCAGGCTGCCCCCTGAGCCAGAGATTCCAGGGAGCTCAGCTGGTAGCCCTGGGGAGACCTCAGGGGTTGGTTTGGCCCCTGGACCAGCTCCCCTGTTCCCACCACTGGCTGCAGAGGTGGGTGTCGCACGGGCGCGGCTGGCTCAGCTGGTACGGCTGGCTGGAGGGCACTGCCGTCGGGACACGCTCTGGAAGCGCCTCTTCTTGCTGGAGCCACCAGGACCTGATCGGCTGCGGCTAGGGGGGCGCCTGGCTCTGGCAGAGCTGGAGGAGCTCCTAGGAGCAGTCCATGCCAAATCCATTGGGGACATCGACCCGCAGCTGGTAAGGGGCTGGGGGCTCCAGATGGAACTGGGATGGTTGTTGAGAAGGTTGCTGGGAATTTCAGAGGCAGCCAGGGTGGAAGGTGTAGGGGTCTCAGAGGTGGTTCTGGGATAGCAGATCCAGGCCTATGGACCCTCTCGTAGGATTGCTTCCTGTCCATGACAGTCTCCTGGTACCAGAGCCTGATCAAGGTTCTCCTAAGCCGCTTCCCCCAGAGCTGTCGCCATTTCCAGAGCCCAGACTTGGGAACTCAGTACCTGGTAAGTCCCCCTGACCCCCTCTGAAAGGGGAGACATGGCAGAAATCCTCATCAGACAGAAGCCAGATGTCCCCTCAAGGATCCCCAGCCTGACCAAACAAGCTCTGTTCTAGAGGGGGCCTGGATGGAACAGGGCTACACGGATACATGTAAAAACCTTTCCAGCCCTGAGCAGCAGATGTGACTCACTGAGCTTTGGGGTGTTTAAGAGAATGACTTACAGCCCTGCCCTCAAAGGCTAACCCAAAACAAAGACTGGCTAGAGATCCTGAGGGTTACAGCCTGGAACCAGAGGAGCACTCAGAACCCATCTGCGGATGGTCTTGGAGACTGCAGTTCCAGAAAGGACCTTTGGGCTTTAAAGCTTTCTTACCCAAAGTGTGTTCCTCACACAGCAGCATCAGCATCATGTGGGAGCTTGCTGAAATGCAGAATCTCAGGCCACACTCCAGACCTACTGAGTCAGAATCTGCATTTTAGCAAGACCCTCAGATGATCTGTAGGCACACTGAAGTTCGAGAAACACTGTCCGAAGAGCAGGTAGTGAGAAAAGAGGTATGGTGGGCACAAGCACAGGGAGTTACAGAGACTAAAAGAGATGGGCCCAGTGAGAGCCGTGGTCTAGGAGAGGAAGCTTGCCGAGAGAAGACTTAGACCGAGAAAGGAGTTGGGTCATGGTAAGGAGTCCTGTGACATAAGTGTTTGTGGGGAAGGTTACTTTCGGGGTCGTCCAGAGAGGCTGAGATCAGTTAGGGGGTGGCTGCAGTGATGCAGGTGGGTATGAGCAGATGGGGCTGATCCTGTGGGTGGGAACACTGAGCAGGAATGGGTTTTGGGGGGATAGGTGATGAGTTCAGCTTGAGGCAAGTTGAGTCTGAGGGCCCTGAGGACCTTCCGGGACTGCTGTCTAGAAGGTATATATGGACATTGGGAATAGGCACTCAGAGAGAGATCTAGGCAGCATCTCTGTGAACAGGTGGTAATTGAAGCCTTGGGAGTGGAAGAAATTGCCCAGGGAGAGAGAGCAAAGCTGAGCATTAGGGAACAGACAGACATAAAGGGACAGTCCCAGGAGAGGTCAGAGAGATGAGAGACCCAAGACAGTACAGGAGGCAAAGAGAGGCTGTGTCAAGGGCAGAGAACTCCCATCCACTCGCTGGCTTCAGTGTGCCAGGCTTAGTGCAGGGCCTCAAGATGGACGACCTCAGTAATCTTCCAATCAAGTGTGATCCCCTCGTTCTGATGAGGCTCAGACAGGCTGTCTGGGAAGCTAACGAGGATGAAGACTGAGATGTTCAATTTGGAGACAAGGTCCTGAGTGGCCTGGGAGTGCGGGTGGGGTCAGGTGTGACATGGAAGCAGACATTTAGACAGGCCCCCACTTCCAGGATACCCTAAAGGGTCTGTGCCTCCTAGGGTGGGACAAACCTCACTCTCCGTCTCATTTTGTCTTTCACTGTAGGTTGTGCTGAATCAGAAGTTCACTGACTGTTTTGTGCTAGTGTTTCTGGATTCCCACTTGGGAAAGACGGTGAGAACAAGGGGTAGGGGGCTTTGTATCAGCTCAGTGTGAGGCTGTACCCCACCTGCTCTACCCCAGAGCCTGCTGAGCCCTGCTCCCTGTCCCGACCCATGCTCTCCTCTCACCGCTACACCCCTAACTGTGTTCCCCACAGTCTCTGACGGTGGTTTTCCGAGAGCCTTTCCCAGTACAGCCCCAGGACAGCGAGAGCCCCCCTGCCCAGCTGGTGTCCACCTACCACCACCTGGAATCTGTCATCAACACAGCTTGTTTCACCCTCTGGACCCGCCTCCTCTGAAGGAGTGGGCCACTGAATGCCCTTGTTCCTCTCATCATGGTCTATCAGATTGCGCACCTGAGGCGGGACTGAGCAGCCCTGCTCTGGGCCCCACAACAAGCCCAAACACGGAGTGACACCAAAGGCTTTGCAAATATGTCTCGAGGATCTGCTGCCCCAGCCCAGAAGCAGAGGCTGCTCTTCCCAAACACTCACAGCCACTGACCAGTCCAGGGCTCCAGGGGGTCAGGTAAACTTCAGGTGCCCATCTCCTCTCTGGCCCCTAGGCCCTTCCAGAAAGGGGCTCCTCCTTCCTGCCCACCTGGTGGAGTCCCAGGAATTCTTCACACCAGATGGCAAGCACTCAACCTGAATCCTGCCTCCAAGTCTTGGATTGCTCTTTCTCCCCCACCCCCAGCCCTCTGGTCTTTATTTCCCACTTGGATATCACTGTTGGACATTGCTGTTATGCAGAGACACCTAGGTTCCGGTCCCAGCTCTGCCTTTGAGTGCCTGTGACCATGGGCAAGTCCCTTTGCTCTCAGACCTTTGGTTTCTCATCTGTAAATGAGGAGGTAGGCTCAGAAGCTCTCCCATCTCTACAGCAACACTGGCACAGACTGGCAGAGTTGAGCATGAGCTGTATGTCCCTTCTTGTCAGGAGGGAAACAGCCCAGAGAAACTGAAGGGTTAGACACTGTGTGTCCCCACCCTCCCACCCCTAAATACATACACATATGACAATGTTCAGCAGGTTGTCTTTAATTTAGAGAAGGAGACACAGGATGCTCACTGTCCCAGAGGCTTGTGGGTGGTGTGCAGGACCTCACTGGCCAGTCTGTGGGCAGCCCTGCCTGTCCCAGTACGAACGTAGCCACCTCAAGCCCTCTATGGTGTCTCCTGAGGGGATAGGGAGGCAGCAGCATCTCAACCCAGGAGGAGAAAAACAGCCTCTATCCAAATAAATGCCTCTTTAGTGCTCCCTTCCCCAGGGCCAAGCCTGGAGCCTCATGCCACCCCTCACCTGACCGACCCCTCACCTTGGGGCCGGTACTCGCAGCCCACAAAGCCTTTGTAGCCTTCATCTTCCAGCAGCTGGAATAGATAGGGGAAGTTCAGCTCTCCAGGGCTGTCAGGTTCCCCCCGGCCTGGGACCTGTGCCACCTGTACATGTCCTGGGACAGATACGGGCAGATGTGAGCCCAGGCCTCCTGCTGTGGCCTGAGGAACATGTGGGGGGTTGAACGTATGAGAGGGCATAGGATGCAGCACAGCAGATGAGGAAGAATCAAAGAAAGGGAACCCTCTTACCAACAATGGGCAGGAACTCCCGGATGTTTCCTGTCAGGTTCCCATCCATGATCTGCCAGTGGAATATGTCCTGGGAAGAAAAGACTATAGTGAGAGACCCCTCATGCCCCCACTGTTCTTTAACACTAGATTTGGAAAATACAGGCCCTCTGAGAAGCATTCCCTTTCTTCCACTTACCATTTGTAACTGGAGGTTTGGTCTTCCAACCTTCTGTAAGATGGCTGCCACTGGGGGAGAGAGGAAGAGGAGGCCATGAGACCCAGGAGAGCACAGGAATCAAAGGGGACAGGAGGTGGCACAGGGCTGGGGGTCCTACCCTGCTGGGGGGTGTCCAGGAAGTACCGGGGGTCAGTGATGCGAGTGTTAATGGGCTCCAGCAGTCCCACGAGGTTCTCCTAGCACCATGTTGGATGCCGTGAATAAAGCTCCTCCTCACCAGGTTTTCCTCTCCTTAGTCACTGGTCAGGGCCCTCAACTGTCCCTCTCACCCGGACCAATGACCAACCTTTTGCCTCATCTGCTCGCTCCACTGTGAACCTCCCTACACACATCCAGACACAGATTTATGCAAGTTTATGTATGTTTTCACCTGAGCCAAAACCCCAGCTGCGTGCCTCAGGTTCTCCAGAAAAACTCTCTCCATCTCACCCCTGACAGATGCTCGATCAACACCCAGGGGTACACGGCCAGCCATCAGGTGAATCCTGTGGGGAAGATGGGACTGGAGGGGCTGTGGGGTCCATACTGAAACAGAGGCCTTCACTCCCTTGGCTCCCATGTGCACCCTTCTGGGGCACCCTGCCTGTGCCAGCTGCACTTATCTCCCCAGGGCTTCAGTCCATACGTCACGCAGCATCCCAGTGCCCTCAGACACCTGTGTCAGCCTAAGCCAAGCCTTTCCCAGATGACTTCTGAGGATCAACCATCTGGCTCTGGATCTGTCCCTCTTTCCTCAGAGCCCTCAGTCTATCACTTAGCCCCTCCTCCTGTCCTTTCAACCTCGCTTTATCTCTGCCTGCCCCTTCTCCGCCTATAAACATACTCAAGTTTCACTTTGAAAAAATTTTGACCCTTACCCTTCTCAGGTATTCCCTGCTGCCTGTCTACTTCCTTGCCTGTTTCTTAGCCCCTTCCAATCTGTCCTCTACCCCCACCACTCACCAGTAATGACCTCCTTGTGGCTGATTCCTTGATAGCCCACTAAGCCTCTGCAGGATTTGACATGTATTTGATCACCCCGCTTTGAACCTTCCTCCTCCACCCATCACCACCTGATCTTTCTCAGCCACATCCAAACTTCATGCAGGTATATTCCAGGCCCTCCCAGCCCCAACAGGCTACATCTCCAGCCTCAAGAACTAGCTGCTGAATACACCTGAAGTTGGTGAACACACGAAGCTGCCTCTTGCCCCTGGCCATTGCACCTTCAGCCTAGAATGCTCCTTACCTCCCGCCCATCAAGCAAACACCCACTCCTTCAAGACCCAATGCTAGCATCACTGCTTGTTAGAAGCTTTCTCTGACCCCAGCCAGCCAGGGTTAGGTGCCTACTCTGCTCCCATGGACTCTTGAAGTGGCATCGTCCCAGATCACTCAGTATATTTATTTTGCCATCTCCCTAATCAAACTGGACTCTCACCATGGGATGGGCATGAGTGGGCCGCCAAATAAAAGAAAACGACATACGACGGAAAAATGCAAGAAGCAATTTTAAAAGGGCCAGGACTGGAGGCGAGGAGGGGTGGTGTGCTCACTCCTAAGCCTCTCAGGCGTGGCGGTCTCTGCTCCTGACCCCCAACCTGCAGCCGGGTCATGGGTCATAGAGAAGGAGGAGACAAGGCAAGATTGGGGAGGAGGAAAGGGGAGGGTACCTGGGGCAGCCCACAGCCTTGGCATAGAGCACAGCCTGTTCCAGCCCTTCTCGGAAGGCCGCCTGCCTCCCGGGTACGGCCCCCAGCCCCATTTCCCCTTTCTCTGGGTCTCCTGTGGAGAGAACGAGCCTCAGCCCCCGGCTTGGGCACGCTGCCCTTGCCCCAGCCCGCCCGGGCCCACCGGCGCACCCGGGGGCGTGTTGATCAGCACCAGCCGCAGTCCCGCCTCCCGCGCGGCGCGCGCCAGCGCCTCCGGAGGCTCCGCGTACGGAAAGGCCACTTCGGCGGCCTCGAAGCCCGCGCTGCCCGCGGCCCTAAACCGCGCGGTGAGGCCGGGGAGCTCGGGGAACAACCACGACAGATTCGCCGAGAAACGAAGCGGAGCCATGGCCCGGCCGGGAGGACAGGCGTGGGGACAGAGTCCGGGCTCCGCGCGGGGCGGGGTCGAGTCCTGGCCGACCGGAAAGCGGAAGGCGGGGGGCGCGCCAACGAGAGCGCTGCAGCGCTGCGGGAGCCCTGACGGACCCGGCGCGGCGAGCCCAGAGGGAAGCCCTGAGGGAAGCCCTGAGGGACGTGGCCCGCGAGCCGACTGGACGGGGGCGCTGCGAACGGGGGAAAGGAGCTGGGGCCCGGAGGAAACCGGGCGAGAGCTTTCTCTGCTGGATTTCAGCATCAACGTTTGTTACTTCTGGGTTAGGAAAGTAATGTGTTGTAAAAACCTAGGTCAGTCCAGAAACGTGAATTTCGTTCAAGACAGGGGACTAGGAAGGGCGAGTAAAGGCGAAAGGACCCGAGCATGAGCGAGAGGGGTAGTCCCGGAAGGAGAAGGGCCTGGGGCCCGAGGAGCAGGTTGGGGAGGCTGGTGCGCCCTCTTGTCGGAGGAGGAGACGCAGGGAGAACTGACCTGGCCCCGAGGACCCCGTAAAAATTAAGGACTGTGGTCTTTAACAATTAATATTTAGTATTTTTCCTAATTATAAAAATCGTGTCTGCTCATTATGAAACGTTTCAAAGCAGTATGACTGAATAAAGAACAAAACTAAAACCACCAGTTATCGCACCACTAACTTGTTAACTTTCCCTGACAGATTTAAAAACCACGATTACACAATTCTGGTAATTCTGTATATGTAGTTTTATATTTTTCCCACCTATTATTATTTATTTTGTGAGCATTTCCCCATGTTCTTCAGTATTCTTCAAAGTCATTGCATTCACCCACTGCTCATTGTTCCACCGCATAAACCCTTTGCCGTCCACTCGATTCCAAAAATCGGGCCTTAGAAAACCTATGGAGCACAATTTTATTCTGACACATGGGATTGTCGTGAGTCAGGGTGATTCGATGGCAGCTGATTTCTCACAAAAACCGAACAAACCGACAGGGCAAATTCCTAGGGGTGGAATTACATGGTCAAAAGATAGGAGCATTTGACTATGCCAAATTGCTTTCCAAAAATGTTTTAGCAGTTTATACTCCAACAATATACATGAATAGAAATCATCTTGACTTTCCGTGTGCCTTTGACAAAGGGAAGCTCAAATGCAATGCTGGGAACTCTCAGCTTCCACTGTTTGTTCTGTCTCTACTCCCCTCCATCCCAAATCAGACCCGCTCAGGCACCTGGGCTCCAGGCTGATCCCCCTAGTTAGTCTAAGTGCTACCAGGTTACATTTCTTCGGCTCTGCCTCCAAGAGCAGATTGCCACCAGCTAGTACTGATCAACTGATTTCTTGCTCATTTGCAGCTGGCTTTATGCTTGGAACTTTGACTTGCCTTGGAATATGTTTCTTGGGTATACTCCAATCAGAACCCAGACCCACCAAATTTAACATTTTAATCAATCCCAACTTCAGCGTGTTTACAATACAGTGTTGACAATACTGACTGGCATATTTAATCATCTAAGGGAAGTAATCCCTTTATTAACGCTTCATTGTAAATCTGAGTATGCAAATCCTACTTGAGACTTTATTTAAAAGCACCACCACCGGCTGGGGTCAGTATCAGGAACAAAATTTGTCCACCCCATTTTTTCTTGTATACCCTTTAGGGCAGCAGAGATGGTATATAAACTAGATGGTATAGAAACTCACTTTTCCCCTTAATTCCCTTACAACACTTTTACATAATGTATTAAAATAAACACATAAAAGGTACCATGCCATTTATCTACCATTTAACTGTCTATACTTTCTATCATGTTGCAAGATAGTCTTTATCGTTACAAATCTTGATTTTCTTTGCAATTAACTTTTAACCAAAGAATGCACACAGTTCTGAGGATTAGTTAGGACAAGAATGATTTGTAAATAGTTACACAGAGGATGGCTAAAACTTGAATACAGAGGTCAGATTCTCATCTGATCACTGAATAGCACTTTCCAATGTGATAAAACAGTATTAAAAATTCATGTTGTAAAATGCAATATAAAACCTCAATGAAATTCCAGTTTATACCTTCCAGACTGGCAAAAATTAAAAAGTCATACAATATCAAATATTGAATAGGATTTAGAACAACTGGGACATTTATTCACTGCTGACAGGAGTGTAAATCACTACAACCACTTTGGAAAACAATTTGGCATTCTCTCGCAAAGCTGTACACTTACAAACCTTTGATTCAGCAATTACTTCCACAGGTTTATATCCTGGAAAGACTTTTGCACAAGAGTACCAGGAGGTATGCTCAATGATGTTCATAGCAGTGCTATTTATAAAGCAAAAATATGAGACTAACCCAAATGTCCATCAATACCTATATAAATAAGCTGTGATATACAGGTAGTCACACAATGTTGCATGCAAGAGAAAGCTGGTGGCTCAAATGATAAAATTGAGTTGCTTTTGTATTAGAGCAATGTATGAAGAGTTTAGTGAGGTTTGGGTCAAATTGAAAACATCAGTATGAACACATCAAATGGATAAATCTCAGAAACATAATCTGGAGTGGAAGAAGCAAGTCACAGAGGAATACATACAGTATGAGTCCATTTATATAGAGGTCAGAAGCAGGGAAAAACAAAGGATATCTTGTCTAGGGATACAAACGTCTGTAGTAAAACTATAAAGAAGATACGTGTATGAATTTTTGAATGAGAAATTAACTTGAACTGTAAACTTTCAGCTAAAGCACAATAATAATAAATCAGAAATTTTAAAAAAAAAACTATAAAGAAGAGAAAGTGAATAAGGATCACAGAATTCAGGATGATGACCTCTGGAGGAGGCAGGAGGGACAGGTATTGGAAACTTTGAAGATAATGGTCATCCCCTCTCTCTTGCACTGAGTGGTGGGGTTATGTATGTTCATTTTATCACTAGTCTTTATATCTTACATATATATATTTCATAAATATTTTGTATCTGTTTCATATTTAATAAAAACAAATTTTGTAAACCTTCTGTATGCATTACTACCACCTGTTGCACGTTTTATATTAACACTCTCACATTCTCATATATTGGACTGTAATTACTGCTTTTTAGACTCAACTTGTCACTGCTAAGCATTAAAAAAAAAAAGAAATTGCCATTGAGTCAAATCCAACTCACAGCGACCGTATAGGACAGAGTAGAACTGCATGACAGGGTTTCCAAGGCTGAAAATCTTTATGGAAGCAGACTGCCCACATCTTTCTTCCACGGAGCAGCTGGTGGGCTTGAATAACATCATTAAACAAAACAGTATTGAATCACTTTACAAAATTTGTTCTCACATGAGTGATCATCTATATTCTTGGAAGAATATAATATTTGCTGTTCCATGTTATACAGCTTATCTTAAAAAGGAGGTTCCTATAACTGGCCCTTTATCTTTAGTTTCTGTAACTATTACTGGGTGGTTGGATCACATCCAGAAACCATTTTTCTGCTCCTCCTTTACATATGCACATTGTTAATAACACAGGAAAGTTCTTGGCAGTCTGGAGTGTTAACAGTTGCACACCCATTCACGCGCAAATTAAACTCAGGTAAATACAATTAGTGTACGTATGGCTCAGGGGTACAGATGTAAAATATAATTTTTTTAAACCTGTAATTTTGAAAAATTCCAGTAACCTTGACTACAGAACTCTATTCTTCACTTGTTTAATTATTACACCCATGAAGTCTACCTATGATATTATGTATATATTTTTGGCAACTTGTTTTTACCTCATAGCAATATATTAAGAAAGTCTTTCCTTGAAAAAAAATACATAAAATCAATCCACTTTGTTGTTCTCTCTCCCTTCTTTTGGACATTCTTTTAAATGCACTGTATTCTAAAATACGAAGATTTTATCATTTCCCCTATTAATGAACAAGATTGCTTCCAATTCTTCATTATTACAAGCAATAAACATCCTTGTATATGCCTTTTTTGGTGTACAAATATTAGTATTGCTCCAATATCCCCGAAAATGAAGAGAACTTAAAGCACTTACTAAAGAAGATCAAAGACTACAATGTTCAATATGAATTGTACCTCAACATAAGAAAACAAAAATCCTCACAACTGAGCCAATAAGCAACATCATGATAAATGGAGAAAATATTGAAGTTGTCAAGTATTTCATTTTACTTCGATCCACAATCAATGCCCATGGAAGCAGCAGTCAAGAAATTAAACAACGCATTGCACTGGGCAAATCTGCTACAAAAGATCTTTTTAAAGTGTTAAAAAGCAAGGATGTCAGAGGCGGGGCCAAGATGGTGGAGTAGTCAGATGCTTCCAGTGGTCCCTCTTACAACAAAGACCCAAAAAAAAAGTGAATCAATTATATATCACAATCTAGGAGCCCTGAACATCAAACACAAAGTTGAGAAATCGGAATGAGTGGTAGGGGGAGGGAGAGATGGTTCGGAAGCAGCGAGGGGTTGCCAGACCTGACCCGGTGGGAGCTGGAGCCCTTCAGGCCGGATCAGCTTGTGGTGCACAGTGAGGCAAGCAGCAGTCCTCAGGAGGTGTTCTCCACATCTCAGGAGAGACCAGAGGCAGAGAGTCTACTCGGCCATCCAGAACCAGTGAGAAGCAGTCCTCAATCAGTGAAATATAAGTACTCGCATCTGGCCTACCATGCGGATCAAAAACACCCCCCTTTGGAAAAAACCCCTCTCCCATTTACCTCCCTGCTCCCTGCTCTGCACTGGGTCCAGGACACCTTCAGCAATTGCTGAATCCCTGAGCCATTCTTCTGGCCTTGGAGAGGGAAAAAATTAACAAACAGGGAAAAAATTATTTGCCAGCTCCCGTAAGCCAGGAACTCAGGGTAGGCACAGCTCCTTTGCCTAGGCACAGGCATAAGGGGTCCACGGACTTTGAGTGCCTTTTCCCCCTGCAGGGACTTGTGTGCACCCATTTCAACAGTGTAGGCCCCCATTACCACAGTACAACAGGA